CAGTAACCCAGATGACATCCCACTAGTATTGACAAGTCAGAAAAGACTTGGAGGGAATGCAAAGAAGTAAAGCTGCTGGTGAGGATCAGGAAAAATCAGGTCTGCTGAAAGACGGAGGACAGATTGTGTTAGCAAAACTAGCCACTTTATTTACGAATTGTCTCCTGACGGGGAGGGTACCAGAATCCTGGAAGAATGCTAACATCATCTTAATACATAAGAAAGGAGATGACAAGGACTAGAAGAATTACAGACCGATCAGCTTGCCTTTGACTTATACAAGCTACAAGTGAAAGCTCGTTAATTCACACGTCATTAATTCGAAATTTTGGATAATTCAAAATGGTCGCCGCAGTCCGGTCCGCAGTGCATAGGAGACGATAGTTATAGCGCGAGAACAAAACGACGACACAGAGACAAGACACGAAAGACATGAGCGTGTCTTTCGGGTCCTTCTTGTCTCTGTGTCGTCGTTTTGTTCTCGCGCTATAACTATCGTCATGCCATACCAACTAGTCCAAGCTGCCACACTTCTAAGTTGCATAGGAGACCATGTGTAAAACGATTCGTTAATTCGAACAGAAATTGCTGCCTCTACGGGTAATTCGAAGCACGCGCCGCCGGGCGTCATCATCGTCAAACACTAGTGGAAGCTTTTTGGTCGAACGATAGGTGACACGACCAGTTTTTTCGAGCTTCAAGTGGCCTCCGAGCAAAGGGGGAGCAAAGTATGGCCTCCAAAATTCAGGAAGCATTTTTTTTCGTAGCCCTCCCGCTATCTCAGCGCCTGGCGCCACTTGTACGCGGGACCCACGGGACGCTGAGGAGTCGGCGGAGTAGTCCTAGCAGTCCTAGGCGCACGTTGTTCATCCACGCCGTCAAGCCGTCTTATTCCGCATCGAAGTTGCAAGATGCCACGGGGAAACTACTGCGTGAATACTGTCAAGGAGAAGGTGGAGATTTCGCGAAAGGTAGACCAAGGGAACTCGAGCAAATACGAAATTGCGAGGAAGCACGGCATACTTCCGAGCACGTTGTCAACCTACATTTGCAAGAGGATGGCCATTGAAAACGCGGCACCATGGGGCAAGGTTCCATTTGGCGTTGCATAAGTCTGTTGCCAGACTTTGGGGTGGTTGTTGCCAGACTGCTGCTAAATTTGGCAGAAAATTTTTCTCCTGTAGTTGTGGCTTCTCCGTAAGAGTTTGGTGCTATCCGCGGTGCACTTCTTCCCGCGGGGCACGTGACACCTGTCGACAATTAACCAGCCTTGGAACGCTTATTCATCACATGTATGTATATACGAGTCCGAACGATGTGTCTTGTGCTGACACAGCTAGGGAAAGCGTAGCGTCCCCCGTCGTAGCGCGCGGTCGACGCGACACGATCAGCTGAGAGAAAAAAAAAGAAAAGTAAGGGGGAAGGGGGGCAGCGCATCCCCTCCTGCGACTCTAATCAGTTTTCCCTGTAATCCCTAATACTGAGACGCGATATCTTAATCGCACAGCTGCGCACACAGCAAGAGAACGCGCCTCGACTTCTGTAATGGGAGGTTCATTCCGTTAATTAAAACGGCCTCTTAATTGCGCAGCAGCGCCGCGCTCGACTTCTGCTAGGCTCGGTCCATTCCGGTAATTAAAACGGCCAGCGTCGCTCATGCACTCGCGAAATTCACCGCGGATAGCACCAAACTCTTACGGAGAAGCCACAAGTACAGGAGAAAAATTTTCAGCCAAGAAGTGCACCGCGGATAGCACCAAACTCTTGCGGAGAAAGCCACAACTACAGAAAAAAATTTCTGCCAAATTTAGCGGCAGTCTGGCAACACCGCCCTTCCAGTCTGGCAACCACTTATGCAATGTCAAAAGGAACCTTGCCGAAAAGGTCCCCCTTTTTGTGATTGGCAAAGCACTCAAACCACGGTGCTTCAAAACATCGCTCACTGCTGACGGAGTACGCCGCAAACAAGAAAGCCTGGATGACAGGTGACCTATTCAGGAAGTGGCTACTGAAATTCGACAGGCGAATGGAAACTGGGCGGCAGACGCGTTCTTCTTGTCGACAACTGTTCGGCGCACAAAGTCGACGTTGAGCTGAGAGCAACTAAGTTGGTGTTCCTTCCGGCAAATACGACTGCGGCCCTACAGCTAATGGACCAGGGTGTGATAAGGAACATTAAGTGCTTTATAGGCGTCACGTGCTGGAGAGAATGATTTTGAGCGCGGGCGACAGGAAGGACTTCGGCATTACACTGCTCACTGCCATGCACATGTTGGTGCGCGCATGGGAACAGGTGACCGCGACCACAATCGCAAACTGTTTCCGCCACAGTGGATTTGCAGCTGGAAGTGCGCAGGATAGTTGTGACGTCGACGTGGATGGGGCTGAGGAGCTCATGCCAGTGGCATTGCGCGACACTCTTCGGGGCGTACGTTTTGCCGATTATGTTGAAGTTGACACCGGTGCATCAGTGCGTGGTGCCCTTACTGATGAGGACATTATCGCTCAAGTAGCCGGTGCGCAGCCTGATGCTGAAGAGCCAGAAGGTGAGGAAGACGAAAATGACGAAGCACCTGTGCGCCCGTCAGCTTCTGCGGTGATGGACGCACTTAATGTGGCGCGTCTTTTCTTCAGCTTTGAAGAGGGTGAAGAGGATTCCCTGCGCGGCGTACGCGCGCTGGAACAGAAAGCCGCAACTGTGGCATTCAGAGAAAAAAAGCAGATGGTCATCACAGACTTTTTTGGCCAATAAATATTTTTCGTGCCCCCACCCCCTAAATCCACCCATTTTTGCTCTTTCATTATTTCGAATTTTGTTTAATTCGAAATTGCTCAGCGTTCCCGTGGAATTCGAATTAACAAGCTTTTACTGTATTTACAAAGGTAATTGCTAACAGAATTAAGACAACATTAGAATTCAATCAATCAAAGAAACAAGCAAGATTTCAAACAGGCTATTCAACAATCGACCACATTCATACTAGAATGCTCAGAATACCACCAACCACTGTATATGTGAAAATTTGAAGTATTCTAATATTCGCACAAGCCTAGGTAATAGTACTAAAGGGCTATTATATGAAATGAAACCTGACACACTGTGGAATCAGATTGTGAAAGACACAATGCCAGATTTCCGGCATAGAGAATTCGACATGTCCCAGGTGATACTATTATTCTGATTATAAGCTGGCTTTCACTGGGGCTAACCAGTTTCTGCTAGTTTTAGTTAAAGACCAATATGCTTGTGATGGGATCCAACTGGTCTGAGTAAAAAAAAAACAGTTTCAAACAGCAGTGATGAAAGTGCATTTTTATTTTTTGGAGCATACTTTGTAGCATAAAAAGTACTGCTTTGGAGCAGCCATAAGCATTTTCAGAGCACGAAAAAAATGCTAGCTTAGGAGCAGCTATTGGCGTTTTAGGAACAGATGTTAAATTGCCATTCATTATTTGGAGTTTAGAGCATTATCAATGCATCTCGTAAATATTAATATTTGTTATGAAATATATATAGCAGGCAACAATAAATGTAATCATCATAGCAAACAAAGGCAGGTTGTCAAAAATGTGGTGTAAAGTGAGCTACAATTTAAAATACTAGTATTTGTGACAGAAATGAAATCGAAGGTCAGTGCCACATTTTAGAAGTAACCACAGTTCCATATAACTTGTTGTTGAATAATCAGTAGATAATCGATGTGATGCTTATTTTCACATTTCACCACACCAGCATACATGTCTAGCTAAAAAAAAATAGCCAAATGAGCTGTATACTTAATATCCCAGTTCTTGTCACACAAATGTAATCAGAGCCTATAATGCTGCACACCAGTAGCACACTGGGAGCATAGTACACAAATTATTCTCAGTTTCTTGACTTATGAGTCAGTCAAACAGCGAAAATTCGTCATTCTCATTCTCTCAGTGCAATTGCAAGTAGGTTTTTAATTACTGTTTGGAGCAGCATGGAGCAGCAAATCTCTTTTGAAGCAGTTTGGAGCGATTGGAGCAGCACTTCCATCACTGAAATGGTCCAAACAGGAATATCTGAGCACTTTTCTGTCATTATTGTAGTTTATTTCTCAGAGAGCACACCACAATGTAAACTATGTATCAATCATGAAATCAATTCTATTCAATCTTCTTTTCTGAACACATAGCACCTGTGAAGTACTTGCAGTTAACCAACCTCTTTTTTAAGGTAATTGAAGAATGTGTGATGCACTTGTACCTGACCATCATTCTTATCAATGACGAACACTAAGCAAACCCAGAGCAAGGTGTTAATGAGTAAAACAGATCATAAACAAGAAACTAACAAAAGATGTCATTCCCTTTGTTTTAACACAACATTAAAGAGCTCATTTTGCAGAAATTCTGGTGTTGGACTGAATGGTTGTGAGAGAAAAACCAGCCCTGCCCATAAGCAAGAAGTGCTAAAAATGCAAATTATAAAAATCTTATCTTCGAGTCTGAAGAAATCAAAGCCAGGCCTTCTGCATGGCAAGCCACTGTCACATTACATAGCCACACCAGAAATAGTGTGCTGGTGTCACATAGCAAACACGTGATAAATTGAGTGTCAGAACTGTCAAATCACAACAGGCATCACTTTATCTGAACTGCACAAGCCAGTGAATCAAAAACCCACCCATTAAAAAGTGCTCAGGCATAATTCATCTACTAGCCAGAAGCAAAGCCTGGCTAATGGATGAGCAGGTGATGCCAATAGGGCCCGATTGTGCTCCTGCATTTCATCATGAAACTTTCTTTTTTTATTTTCCCAAATATGTCGGCTAAATGAAGATGCAATCATTGCACTGCCACAGCCTGCTAATTGACACTTTCCGTGGGGTTACTGGCATGCGCATACACTCACTTGCAATTGTAGGAGGCTATCTTTATAAATCAGGCATTGCCTGGTCAAAGTCACATGAGAATCAAATGATTCATAAACTAGCTCACAAATATTGTGATCCATTTTATTTTATTCTTTTATCAAACAGCTTACACAGAATGATGCCTACTGATTAAAGTCGCTCCTCTGGATCCTCAGGGATAAAGCGGCGTACCAAGCCCTTTGTTATACTGTCAAACGACTCATCAGGTATCTGAAAAGAGCAATAGCTACATCATTTCATGCTAGTATGCACAGACATAGCAGTTGTATGAAACTGTCAAATAAAAAAAGCTATTGCAGATTGCCTGCTACATATTCCAAGATAACAGTGACAGTAATGGAGTTTGTTGAATGAATGGACACGATGGTAATATTTTGATTGACGAAATGTCGAACTCACTTTCCAATGTCAACATGACTGGTAAAGCACCACACATGTAAGCGCAGGGGATGCAGGTTTAATAGCCCCTTCATCAAGTTCTTGTTCCACTTTTGTGTTTAGTACTTCCTCAACTCATCTCTGTATTTCAACTGAACAAATTTTCCCGATGCTTTCTGTGGCTTCATTCCAGTGTTCCTTAATATGCTACATCCGAATGACTCAGGGAAAAGTGAAAGTAGGAGGATCACAAACGAACCTGGTTTAAAAAATAGACGATGCAGCTAGTATATCACGAAGAGCAATCTGATCAGCCTGTAATTCCTCAAGGTCCTTGTCATATCCTTTCTTATGTATTAAGATAATGTTAGCATTCTTCCAGGATTCTGGTACCCTCCCCGTCAGGAGACAATTCATAAATAGAGTGGCTAGTTTTTATAACACAATCCGTCCTCCGTCTTTCAGCAAATCTGATGTTACCTGATCCTCACCAGCAGCTTTGCTTCTTTGCATCCTCTCCAAGGCTTTTCTGATTCGTCTATCATTACTGGTGGGGTGTCATCCGAGTTACTGCTAGTTCTTATAGTAATATGGTCTGGGTTGTCCTGGCTACTGTACAGGTCTTGTAAAACTCCTCCAATATTTCAACTATCCTATCCATATTGGTAGTTATTTTGCCTTCTTAGTCCCTTAGTGCATACATCCGATTTCTGCTTATCCAAAGTTTCCTCATCACTGCTTTGACGCTTCCTCCGTTTTTCAGAGCGTGTTCAATTCTCTCCATGTTATACCTTCTTAAATCAGATACCTTACGCTTATTACTCAACTAGAAAGCTCTGCCAGTTTGATTGGTCTGTTGTACTAGAGACTTTCATGCTTTGATGCTTTCTAATGAGGTTTTTCGTCTCCTGGGACAGCTTGCCAGAGTCCTGTCCAAGTGCCGCACCTCCAACTTCCACTGCACACTCTGTAATGATACTCGTCAGATTATCATTGATTGCGACGACGCTAAGGCTTGTTTTCTCGATAAGAGCCGAATACCTGTTCTGAAGTGAGACTCTGAATTTTTCTACTTTCCCTCTCAATGCTAGCTTATTGATTGGTTTTTTGTGTATCAGTTTCTGTCGTTCCTTCTTCAAGTCTAGGCAAATTCTAGACCGTACCATTCTATGGTCACTGCATCGTACCTTGTCAAGCACTTCCACATCCTGCACGATGCCTGGGTGTGCACTCATTATAAAGTCTATTTCGTTCTTATTTTGGCTATTAGGCTCTCCATGTCCACTTACGGTTTCCTCGTTTTCGGTAGGAGGTATTTCAAATCCGTAAATAATTGCGTTCTGAGAATTCTACTAGTAGCTCTACTCTGGCATTTCTAGTACCGATGCCATGACCTCCCACTGTCTGGTCTCCAGCCTGCTTCTTCCCTACATTTGCATTAAAGTCTTTCATTAGTATAGTATACTGTGTTTTTACCTTACTTATTGCCGATTCCACGCCTTCATAGAAGCTTTCAACTGAAGTGTCATCATGGCTAGATGTCGGCGCGTAAGCCTGTACCACCTTCATCTTGTATCCCTTATTGTGTTTAATTGCGATACCTACCACCCTTTCATTAATGCTATAGTATTCCTCTATATTGCCAGCTAGGTTTCTGAATAAGGAACCCCACTCCCAGTTCTCTTCTGTCAGCCAAGCCCCAATAGCAAAGGATGTGCCCATTCTGTAGCACTGTATAGTCCTCATCTGTCCTCCTAACCTCACTGAGCCCTATTATATCCCATTTAACACCCTGTAGCTCCTCGAATAGTACAGCTAGACTTGCCTCACTAGATAAGGTTCTAGCATTAAACGTTGCCAAGTTCAGGTTCCAATGGCGGCCTGTCCGGATCCAGAGATTCTTAGCACGCTCTGCTGCCTTGCAGATCTGACCGCCGCCGTAGTCAGTTGCTTCGAGGCTGCTGGGGACTGATGGCCGTGAGTTAATTGACATATGCATGTGGGAGGTAGTAGCCAGATACTGCACCAGGGTGGCCAATGCTTCTCTGGTGAGGGAGTGCGTTAGCGGCGGTGGTCACCGGTGAAGCCGTACCTTACGCCTCTTAATGCAGTTCTATTGCCACGTGGATTTTTTTATCCGGTTGGGAACTGTGCAGCACCGGGATTCCAACCACGAACCTTTTGCATGCGAGGCGGATGCTCTAACCACTACGCCAACGCCGCTCTCTAACCACTAATGTAGCTGTGTAATGCAGCAGTATGTCCCTGAACAATGTTTCAGAGCGGCAGTCTGCAATCTATGGTGGAAGCAGATTCCACTGGGAGATTGTGTGCGTAAAAAAGGAGTATTGGTAAATGTTTGTTCCACAAAAACATTCTCTTAATTTTAGAGGTGGTCAGTTCTCTTAGATGAAAAATGGTGAGATGAAGGGTAAGATTCTTTATTTATTTTGATCATACCATGAAATATTTTGAATAGCATTTTTGATCTCAAGTTTTTCCTACGTGAAACTAACAAATTTTACCTTAACCTATCCTTAAGTGCAGTGACACTGACTCTGAAGTCATAGTTGCTAGTCACAAAACGAGCTGCGCGGTTGTGCATGATCTCTAGCATATTAGACAAAGTTTTTGTTTGTGAGTTCCACGCCACACAAGCGTACTCTAAGATAGGTCGGACATTTGAAAAGTGGAGTAGTTCTCTGATTTTGGGAGGAGCTGCAAGATCTCGCTGTGACACCAAGGTATTTATACTCAGTTACTCGCATTAGCTGGATGGTATCTAATGTATCATAAAAGAGGTATGAGTCGCGTTCATTAGTGAAGGAGACGCACTGCAACTCCCTAGGGTTCATAGACATACATCACCTATCACACCAGCGCACAATGCTGTCTAAATGGCATTGCAAGTACTGATGGTCTGAGGTATCTACACTCAAACCTCGTTATAACGAAGTTGAAGAGGAGCCATATTTATTTCGTTATACCCATTATTTCGTTATATTGATTATAGCAGTTTATGGCAATGTATGCTCAGATGGGTGCGCACCTATATGCATGCAAAAAAGGAAATCACCTGGCGGCCCGATGTACCGCTACGCAACCACGCGAGCCACAGAAAATAAACTCAGTCAAATCTCATTAATTCAAACTTTCAGGTAATTCGAACTCACGCTGAGGTCCCGTCAAAGCTATGTATATACCAAAAAGCAATAACAACCTGTAATTCGAACGTGCAAGCACTTGCGAGGGTTAATTAGAACATACCGCGCTCCGAAAATGCTCTCGGCACCATGCCCAATCTCGCGGCGGCACCTCTCAATGCTGCGCGTGAAGAAGAAAAAGAAGAAAAGGCAACAAAAGACTGTGGCGTATTGCTTGCTCTCTCTCAAATGCCAATCTGCGACGCGCCTGTGCCACCGTTCTCTCTTTCTCGTTTCTGCACATAGAGACGCTTTTTTCAAGGCCGCGTGCTGAGAAAGAAGAAAAAAAAAGAAAGCTGTCGCGGAGAGTCCTCCTTTCTCGGTGCAAAGGGTAGCAGCCATGATAGTAGTGGAGACGCAGTCGTTGCGGTCTCGAGAGGAAAATCGCTTTGCACCGCGGGGCCGCCTCTTGGTCATGTGACATCTTGAGCGCTTCATCAATCCTCTCCGCTGGCTGTGTGAAAAGGACGGCTCTCTCAGCTGTGCGGGGCGTGGCTGTAAGGTCAGCGCGGGAGTTTAAAAAGAGCCGCGCCGAACGAGCATCAAACTCCGCAGAAAACAATATACTTATTGCACTACGGTCGGTTTTTTCTGATAGATTTGATAGACTAATTTAGTTTGTTATATACATTTAACGGTCAATATTACTTCATTACAACGAGGTTTAAATGCATGGTTCTCAATGGAGCTTTCAAGAGGAATTTCATTTACTTTGTTATAGTCATTATTTCGTTATATCCTGTTATATTATAACGAGGTTCGAGTGTAATGCAATTGTAAACAACACAATCATCCGCATACAGGCGGACTTTGCATCCTGAGCAATATCACTAAGGTAGACTAGAAACAGCAAAGGCCCCAACACAGATCCCTTTGGAACTCCTATAGTAACAGCAACATATCCATATAATGCACATGATGGCAAATTTCCCCAATGGCGCTTCTTTTTAGTTGTTTTTTTACCACATTCATTTTGTTGGAAATGCAAGTCTTTCAAGGTTAACTTTTAGAAATTCGATTGCTGGTAATCACACCCCATCGCATGCCTCGATGCTCAGACATGGGAGACTGCGTGCTCAACATGTTTAGTGCTAGTGTTGTAACCCATGAAGAAGGTTGTTTCAGCTGTAGTGCGGATATTCGTGACTTCAGTGGCGTATATGTTATCTGCGGTATATGCTATAGTCCAAAATAAAATTGCTGGAAATTTCACCCTGTGAAATAGGAGTCGAATATTATTGAAAAAAAGTGCACCTATTATTCGAGTAAATACGGTATCTGGTTAGGAATGAGATCCTGAATTTCTGTACTTCTGCTCTCAGCGCTAACTCATTAATTTGCTTCTTGCTTATCAGTACCGCCATTCCTTTCTCAAGTCCAGGCAAATTCGAGACCCCCCCCCCCCTTCTAGTCACTGCATCTCATCTTACCAAGCATTTCCACATTGCCTGGTAGCGTGCGCAGTATGATGTCAATTTCATTATCAGTTTCACCGTTAGGGCTCCTCCTGCTCCCCATCCACTTATGATCCAAATGTTTTCGGTAGAAGGGATCTAATGTCCGTAAATCAGTGCATTCTGCAAACTACTACACTCCTACCTAGATATAACAAATCCAGGTATTGCAAAT